TGCCCTCACCCTTGCCCGTGGATGCGCCGCTCCGCTGCTGCCTGGTTCCCTGCCTGCTAGGGGCTGCTTCGGGGAAACCCTCGGGTCCAAGCGAGCCGTGCTTCTGGGACTCCTCAAATTCCCCCTCGTCGTCTTCCACCGTGTGTGTCTCTGACTATTTTATACTCTGGAAGATTGTTTACATGTTTCCTCAGGCGGCCTGGGGAAAAAAATACATTGAAAAAATTATTGTTGTTGTTGTTATTTTTATTTTTATTTTCCTTGTATTCCTGGTATCTGAAATTATACTCCTGGTGGTTTTTTAGCCTTACATGTCAAATGTAATTATGATAGAATTTCTATGCCATTACTGTCTCCAGCATAGTTTGCCAGTTCTCTTCAGTCGAAAAACCTGAGCAGATAAACAACAGCATAACTTAAAAGGAGGGATTTTAAATTTCCACGTCCACAAATCTCACTGCCAGTTGTGGAAGTATTAAGCAGAAGGTTGCCAAGAACATAAAACCTATTGAATTTGTAAATAAACCAAAAACAACAACAAAAAAAAACCCCAACAAATGCAACAGAGCAAACTTCAATGCACAGAAAGCAATTAAGTGTTATAATTTCAAATTAAAAGTATTCAAATACTCTCTGAAATATTTTCAGAAAGTTACACTGAAAAGAGGCAAATCCCAAAGTCAAACTGTGGGGTGACCTCTATAGACAACAAGAGAAAAAGAGACAACTGACACTTAAAGACTTACAAAGGAAGAAGGAAGAACGGGAAAGTACATTATTCTGAAAGTTCAGTACAAATAAAAGGTACTCAGCATTTTTAATCAGTCATTAGCACAATTAAATTTCATTACATAATGACTCAACCCAATACTCTAAACTTCAAGAAACATCTTACAGCTGTTAGGATGCAAACCGCAGAGAAAAGCAAGCAGCAAAAAACTAGAACAGAAAACAGGGTCCTAGCCCAGCCTGTACTCATCACAACAAAATATTCTCTTATCTCCCAGTATTTGTATACTAAAAGTATTTCACTTTTTCCTCAATGGAGAATTTTTCATTTACATGTTAGATTTTTTGAAGGCAGTGGATATCCACTGCTGGCAACTCACCTTTTCTTCGGAAAAGCACTCTTCTGCAATGCCTAGGCAGTTGACAAGGAGAAAGAATATTCATTTCCAGTTTCCTTTTCCTCTTCCTCCACTGAGTCATATTTGCTAGCCACTGCATCAACTTAATTGGTAAAACTCGTTAAGAACAATTTCATTATCCCTGGAAGACAACCTGTAATAATTAAAAATACGTTACTTCAGTTAAAAAGTATCAATGGAAAGTCCCAGCAAAAGTCATCTAAACACATGGAATATATTTAAAGTGTATTTGTACAGGTGGAATCTCTTTCTGTTCACAGTTCTTGACTTCATGACTCATAAATTAAAAGTCCTGAATATTACCAAAGTTTTAGAAAAGAACTTTTAACAGCTGGACTCACCACAGTTTTTGTTGTGACCATCGGTCAGCCTGCCCAGAGATATCACCGTAGTTTTAGCCGAGGATTTTTTATTTCAAGTGGTGACTGCGATTGTTGCATACTCAATTAGGATGTTAGATCCGGGTTTCAGAATTATAACTCCCTGTTACACGTAGGTGGTTTTGGAAACACCTTAAAACAAACAAAAGCCAGAGGAGAGGAGGAGTTATGGTGGATGTTTGTTCAGAACTGGTAAAATACA